ACCTATGGGGGCCCCTTTCCCTCCCCCCCCCCCGCCCCAGTACCCACTTCCATGCCTCACAGATATGCCAACACATGCCCTTCCTGAGCTCCCAGCCCTAGTCCTTGCCCTGCCTGGTCTTTGGCTGTAACCCCCAGTCTTTGGCCCCTCTCTGGGCCCTGGCCCTGCTCCTAGGTTAAGTGAGACTCCTAGGCTGGTCTGGCCCCACTAGCCTCCAGCTGTGGTCCTCCTCATCCTTCAACCCATCTCTGAGCCCTGACCCTGCTCCTGGGCCAGTGAGACCTCTGGCCTCCCAGGCACTACTGACAACTGTCCCCCCTGGGTCAGCAAGATCTCCAGGCTCCCAGGCCCTATTGACACTATTCTCTCTCTGGGCTCAGGCCCTCCAGCCCCATGCTCCACCCGCTGGGCCCTCCAGCTGCACATTTCACCCTACTCCTGGGTTCCAGCCTTCAGACTGTGGGCTCACCCACTCCTGTTCCCAGGCCAATCTCTTCCAAGGCCAGCCTCTCCAGGCTATGGGCTCACCTGCCCCTGTTCTCAGGTCTGTTGTGGTCCCAGGCTCTGTGCTGCTTACTCTAGCTCAGCTGCTCTTCCAGGAGCTCCTCTCTCTCTGGCTTCTAGGGCTAAACTCCCTGACCATCAAGGGCCCTGGGCTTGTATGTCTCAAGCCCTGTCCCCTTCTGCTCAGGTGCCTTTTAATTGTCCCATCACACCTGCAGGCTGCTTCTGCCTTAGCCTTTCCTTGTAAAGTGACAGGCAAAGCACCCTGTGACAATGACCCAATGTCACTCTAAAAAGCATAGGAATAGTGTTAAATCAGGGGAGAGGGGAAAAGACCTTTCCCACGTAGATATTCCTTGAACAAACTTGGTTGTAATAACTTTAATTTATAAATTAAGCTTTCAAAAATCAAATATCAAATATTTCAAACAGTTCTTTTACACCAGCATTCCTTCATTGTTATCATACAACATGGACATTTGTGTCATACAGCATTTGATCACAAGTGACCATAAGTGTTTTAATATGGAACAAATGACATTTCTAAGGCCAGAGTACATTATTTGTCTCAGAAATCCATGGGTGGATGCACTTGGAGATTGTTATAGAAAAAGGTAGGCATAACAGGATCTGGGAGAGATGCTCCTTTCCATGTATCAGAGA